CCCCCTTATTGTTTTGGCCATCCTTTGCGGCATTGGTTGCACAACCGCCGCCTCTCGTTGCACCTGGGCTTTCGCTCGTGACGGTGCCATCCCTGGTTCCCGCTGGTGGAAGGAGGTCCACCCCAAGCTGGACGTTCCCTTGAACGCCATGATGCTCAGCATGGTTGTCCAGATCATTCTCGGTGTCATCTACTTCGGCTCCAGCGCTGCCTTCAACGCCTTCTCCGGTGTTGGTGTCATTTGCTTGACTGCCTCGTACGCTATTCCCATTGGCATCAGTCTCTTCAACGGCCGCACCCACCTTGTCGGCAGCCCCTTCAACCTCGGCAAGTTTGGTGTTGCCGCCAACGTCATCTCTCTTGGTAAGTGCAAACTACAAAACGGATCGAACAATTTGGTACAAAAACTAACTCTTTGACAGCCTGGTCTGCTCTTGCCATGCCCTTGTTCTGCATGCCCACCTTCGTCCCCGTCACCCCCACGACCATCAACTATGCCCCTGCCGTCTTCGTCGCCGCCTGCCTCATCTCCGGAGGATGGTACTTTGCCTGGGGCAAGAAGAACTACGCTGGACCCCCTACCAACGAGGAGCCTGCCTTCTAAGCTCTCCACAGAAACGAACCGGAGGGAGTCCGGAACAGAGATGATCAAAGGCCGAAATGTTTTGAGCTGTTGAGCTCCCTCTGGTCGAATCACAAGAAAGTATCGACAACAAGTACTTGGCAACGGTGTGCATCCACATGGGTCTTCTTTCACACTTGGAAACAGTGAATTAGAAGCAAACCCATTGGCAACATTTTGCTAAGAGGCGCCTACGGATTATGGCGCATCAGGCAAGGATACCAACAAAAAAAAGAGAGAGTCGAAGGCGGTCATGTACATAGGAATGATACCCCCAGTGCTTAAATTCAAATTTTCAGTTACAACATGTCTTCTCTTGCTATTGTGAATTATTCGGTAGCGCCGTTGCAATTAACTCAGCATAAAATCAGTTTGCGTACTCGAATATCGATACCAGCTTTTGAGGCCATTCATAGCTGTCAGTCCCAAATCTGCCGAGCCTTGCCATCCAAGCGTAGAGCATTGATGAAACAACACATCACCGAGGTAATTCCGGTCACCGGTCACAAAAGTCAATCCCCCAGCTTTCGTCTGATCAAAAGAGACGTTGGGAAATTTACGCCCAGCCAAACAATCGACACTGTACTGGACTTGTACAGAGCGGACAGGGACTACCCTTAGTACCCTCTTCCGTGCCTCCATTTCCCCCCCTTTTCGGGAGGAGATTTTCACTGCAGTATTTTTTTCTCTTTTCAATGGAGTCGTTTTTCTGGGTCCCCGTTAGAGAAGCGTTGAACTTGTCAAATTGCCAAGAACCTCCATTCCGGCCGCCTTGCACACCCGCCCCCATGGGGGCACGGGGGCAAGCCAAACCAGACTGGGATGATACAGGCGGTTTAAAGGATTGGGAGTCCAGGAAAGAGGTGATCCTCCTTTTCTTATGCCAAATTTGGCTACAATAAAGGTGAAGGTGGGAGGAGTTCCCGGGAAATTTTGATCTAGAGAGAGAGCAACGGCATTGGATGGGACGTGTGTGGTGAAACAGTGCCTGGGTGTGGGCTCGCGCGGTCCCTCAGATACATACAGTCCTTGAGTAAAGGGACCAGCAGCCAACAGCAGTGATGTTGGAACTCTCCTCTCAACTCAACCAACGTCCTTTGCATACCCGGCCCCGCCCAAGGTTACCCGTTGAACGCCGACCGCTCCTTCATGTCGAAAACGGGGTGGGGAACGCGGTCAGCGGAACTTGTCCGGTGGATTTGCCGTGTTTGATTTTTCTTTCGTAGTGTGGTTGTTCGTGGCTGAGCCTGATTTTGATGTGAGAAGCTCGGGACACTCGGTGACTTTTGTTACTTTTGTGCGCGGACTCTCGACTCCAGGGGGGGGGGGGGGGGAGTGAACATGGTGAAGGGAATTGTTCCTTCGTACGGCATGAAAGTCCACTCACACGTAAAACGTCCCCTTCGCATCCCACAGCCTTGTTTTTCTGCTTGATTTGTTCTCAAGTGTGTAGATCCAGGGTCCCAGGGCTTGTCCCTCGATAGAACGTGCTGGGTATCGATACATGACCTGAATCTTCTGCAACGGGTCGATCCAATGTGGCAATCTTGAAGGTTGTTCATGTTCTGGCGAATCAGAGTCGGAGGAGTCGGCGGAACAGGGGGATGGCTTGCGATGACGTCTTTCGTTCAGGTTTTCTAGAATATTTCCGTTTCGGGGGTGTCATCGTGCTGATCGATTTCACCCCACTTCTTCTCGGGATGGCAGGGCGTTGCGCACACCTTAATCGGTGAGATTGCCGAAGGTTCCGGGGGTTCGGTGAGTTACTTTGGTCGAAGTTGAGGGCATGCCTGGATAAGCCGTTGTTTTGGCAAGCGAAAAGAAGAGTCTTTACGCTTCACCATCGTGTCGCTCATGAACCTGGTCAGAAGTTGCCATAATGGGGGGTTCTAATCTGTAAGAGTGGTCATGTCGAGTTACACTAGTAAAAGAAAATCTTGACCGATATTTACATGTAGATGGATGGCAGTCATTATTGTCTGGACTCTGGTACCCAGAACTGAGTTCTTGGAACTAGCTATGCACTGGTATAGATATACATTCGAATGAGGCGCACATCCATAAGAGTACTAAACGCAGTCTCAGACCGCAGTAAACGAGTTCACCTTGATCGACCCTCCTAACTGCTTAGTAGCAAAGTTGAAAATACCAAAGCGGTAGGCAATGAAAAACTCCCACCCAGAGTGCAGTGTATAAGTGTCACCAAGCTTAGTAAACTGAACACCATCAAAACTGTAGAAAAAGTCGGCGTCCCTAGTCCCCGTTGGCCGCGCATCCAGTTCAGCCCGGAACCAAACCTTGGTAGCGCCGCTCGGCACAGGTGCTGAAGCTGTCTCTTTGCCGGGGTCAACGGGATTACCGGACTGCGCGTCGATGATGATACCCTGGATCGCTTTGAGGCTGTACTCGCTGCCATTGCGATGGATACCGATGTACGCAGTCTGATCTCGGAACGCCGCGAGCCCGAACCTGTCGCCGTCGGCCATATTGCTAAAGTCAATCTCGACGGTTCCTTTCGGGAATTCTCCGTGGATCCGGTGGGTGAGTGTGTTTCTCGCAGAGTATATATCTTCGGTGACGCTAGCGGTGCGGAGGGTCACGCCGTTGTTGATTTCAAAGCTCGAAACGTCGGGGTTGTGGTTCCATTCCCAAGTTGGACCGAGTTCACTCTCAAAAGTGTAGGTGCGCGTCCAGTTGTACAGAGGCTGGAATGGTAGAGGTAAGGGGTAGGAGGAGCCCCAGCCACCGTTGCTTCCTTTGACAATCTCAGGGAAGCCATCCGCGCCCCAGGTAATCGGTGCCAACACGGGCATGCGGCCCGCGGGATACGCCCAGGTGAAGGACATAAAGTACCAGTCACCCTGCGCGGTCTTGATGAGACTTCCCTGGTGAGGCGAGTTCCCTCCCTCAAGCGGCGGCGCGATATTCTGGCCGAGGATCTTGGCTTCGTAGGGACCCCACGGACTGCTCGACTTCCAGATGTAGGTGGTAGATCCCGGCTGATCGTTAAGGATGTAGTACGTCCCATTGATCTTGTACATTCTGTTTCCCTCCACCGTCTCGGTATTGACGTCAGATGCCTGAAGGACCTGCTGCGTCTTCACGACACTGAGTCCGTCGGCTGCGAGCTGCGAAACGCTGACCTTGCCGTTGCCGTACACCACATACATCGTGTCATCGTCGTCGATCAGCAACCCGTTGTCATACATGCAATTCCCACCACCAAAGTTGGCGCGGTTATACCACGGCCCCTCTACGGACGAGGCAGTAAAGACCCAGGTAATCCAGAAGTTGGTACACCCGATCCAATACCAGAGCCCATCACTCTCGCGGTACCGCAGTGTGGAGGCCCAGGTACCACCGCGGTAGGCGCGGGGTCCGCCGGGCGGGAGATCGTAGCCGTCGCCGAAGTTGAGACGGGGGACAGAGTGCCCGACGGGCTCCCAGTTAACGAGATCGAAGGAGCGAAGGATCGGGGCGCCGGGGCTGTAGTGGAAGTTGGAGGCGGAGAAGTAGAAGGCGCCGTCTGGGCCGACGGAGATGTCGTTGTCTGGGTAGTCTTCGTAGAGGACTGGGTTTTGGAAGGTTTCGTCGCGACATTTTTTGATGGTTGCCGCCGAGGTGAAGAGGAGGAGGGCTGCTGAGAGCAGCAAGAGACGGGTCGACACCATTGTGGGGGAAGCACTGGCGGAGGCAGCCAGGGGAATTGGGAGCTTGGTTCGGAGTACCTTACAGGAATCTGATCGATTATCACGGGAACCTTTGAGCTACTAATACTAGAATATTTCCAGATGCATATCCCCTGACCTTTCTGTATTCCTTCGGAATCATTGGCGCGGGAGGAGAATGTCAGCCATCTGCAGGAACTTCTCGGCGGGTTGACGTCCGCTGCCTCAAATCGTCAAATACGACGCTGTCACTTTGCGGGGTGAGAGATGCCAAGAGAAGAAACCCGCCCCAATTTAGCCATCCCGTCTTCCCGATCTCCAGGGCTTAATGGGAAAGGCCATCTCTTTTGGGAAAACATGGAGATCTTGCCCGATTTCCAAGCCAATGATCTCGTCATTTTGGTGATGTAGGATGACGTTCGTCCTTTTGCGTTCTTGCTTGAGCAAGGTTGATTAGGCCTTACACAGAGGCCGGGCCTGGCAACATCGAAATCAAAAATGGAGTTAGGTAGATGGAAGGCCGGATTTGAACGCGTTGGGTACTGTTAGCAAGTTGTAATGTTGACGAAACTAATTCATTCATTGCATCAGTTGGCTGGCACCTGGACAGAACAGCGGTTTCTTGAACTTGACACAAGGCGAAGTAACTACTCTATCATACGAATGGATCGTTACTCTAACGAACCTCTTAGCGGCTTCTTTTAATTCCTGTTACTCAGGCTTCTGCCCGTAGACAACGTGGCTGCGGGACTTATTAGCAGCAAACCTTTCTTTCTCAAGTTGAGGAAGCAAAAGGGGCGCTTCAGAGAGACTCACAAGGGTAGGTAGACGTGAGACTTGCAAGCCTTCATTTCCTGGCGGACCTGCGAAAGCAACACGAGCGCCTCCTCCCTAGTCCAATCTAGTGCGGTGCAGAAGAGCTTCAGAGTGAATGCGTCGAGCCCTTCGAACATCTGAATAAGATTGCACATGCCAATGTCCTTGAGCAAAGGATCCTTTGCCCAAGGCCCGATGGGAATCTTGTAGTGTCGATGCTCGACGTTTTGAAAGCCATGGTCTTTCACCCATGTATTCAATTTTGGTCCAGGAGCCCCGTCTCGGCCGAGGTTCGCGCAAGCTTCCATGAATAGGGTGGCCCATCGGTGTGTCTGGGTATTGTTGAGGGACCCGTCGTCTGAGTCGAGCATCAAACTCCAGTCTTGGAACTCCGCCCACCCGCCAGGAGTTAGGTTCCTGGGTAGGGACATTGTTACTTTTCATCGCCCAATCGCATGTAAAACAAGGGTCGCTCACCCAAAGATTCGGCTGATGTACAGCTGCCAGTCCGCGATGGAGCCAGCCATGTAGCGACTAAAGATGAAGTTGTACTTCTTGCTTCCTACCCAAGGGCTTTCGACGTCGTCCACCTCGAACTTGACGTTCGGAGGTACCCAAGACGGCTGGATTGGACTCAAATCAATTCCAGTTATCTAAAGTGAGTTCGTGTTAGTGTGTGAAGTGAGATCCACCGCTGTAGGAGAGAAAGGAGGTGCAAACCTCAGCATTGGGAAAGAAATCTCCCATCTCGATTGCCCCTAGATTGACAACATCAGTCTCGTGGGCGAGGATTTTGACCGCATAGAGGCATACAGATACCGGTTCCAGTGCCTATGTCTAGTATGCGATGCGTTTTAGCTTCGTCGATGGGTGCAAGGAAGAGCTTGTTGCCGATGGTCTTAACCATTACGGTATGTGTCAAATCGAGTCTGTCCGATTCCCTCTAGCCAAAGGAGATCGATATTAGTAACGTTACTTTAGAATGCTAGGTCTTTAAGAGTTCCACCTCGTCATTGGGAAAGTTATAGGCTGTGTATGTAGTTATTAGCTTCATCCCACATTGCAAGGATGCCATGATTCAGCTACTACTACTTACAGCCAGCTCGGAACGCGTGATACGTTCGACCATATTCAGTCGGATAGTCTACCACTGATGAAGATAGAGAGGCAGTATACGAAGACCTGGTTTGGGACTCCATTAGTCTTGGACCAAACCTCTAGTTGCTGATCTCAGGCTAAGAGCTGGACCCACATGCGATCATCCATGGTCGAGACATCGTTCTGTTCATGAAAAATGCATTAGCCACAAGACGTTATTCAAGAACTTCAAGAGAAGAATCCATACTCACTCTAACTTCGCTGTCAACTTCGATGTCGGCTGATGCCGATGGGGCGGCTGCCGTAGATGCCGCAATTGGCTGAACGGCTTGTGCCTCCACGTCACGAATTGAGTCAGGCATCATGATATTTGCGAGCGCTACAACTCCTTTTGGACGTGGAAAAGGAGAGTGAGACAAGGCATGGGGTGCCTTCAGATAATTTCATCACAGGACGCGGGGTCTCCGAGAGTTGTCGTATGTTGGCACCAACGTAGCTTGGCGGCGCTTAGTTGCAGAAAATATCTGGATCTTCTGCAGCGCGGATGCAGCACGTACATGAAGACCGCGCATCTCACCAATTAAGGGCTGAAGTCCGGCTGGGTTGTTGCTTCTGTGCTCACATGAACCAACATGACGAGGTTGAGTAGCTCTGCTTTGAGATCCTTAGGCCGGGTATCTGATGATACGAGTCCATCCGAGGCTAACCACGCCCCTAGTTCTCTACTCAAAATACTGTATCACCGAAGCTCGCAGGGTAATCAAAGGGCAGTGCAAGTAAAGGCTCAATTATAATTCTCCTTCCTATCGTATTTTTCTACCACCTCAAAATTCAATTCTTGATACCATAGAACTGAAGCTCCGCAATCATTGGAGCATCCTCTCTCATCATGGCAAAATTGGCGCCGTTGGTATCATAGGCGTTGAATGTGCGTCCGACTTGCAACCTACCTTGCTCGTTGACCTTCAGCTCACGACAGCTGAGAATATGGGTAGAAACCACGTCGTCATTCAGGGACTCGGCCTCGAGCTCGAACTTGTGGCCGAAGAGCAAGAGCTTTCCGTTGCCCTGACTGATAGCAAGACCATACATGTGTCGAGTCATCCGCCCGCTTGCAGTGATGTCGAATTCTCCAGATGTGAAATGCAGCTCTTCTGGATCCCAGCCATTGTAAGCAATTCCGATATGCGGTTGGTCTTGATCCTGGGCATCCAGGAGGAAGGGGCCGGCCTGGCGGAGTAGGTTGGCGTGCTGAATCGTATGGGATTCAGGGTTCCATATCCTCAAATCTTCAATCCGGGAGAAGACAACACCAGTTGCGCCATGAGAACCAAATGCAGACCAAATCAAGCGGATGTCATCCTCGCATCGACCATGAGCCTGGACTAAGAGAGCTTGGTTGGCACCAGAACCCCAGATCTCACAAATCTCATCGTACTTGGGATGGAACATTCGCGGTGCATAAAGATCGATGTAGGTGCAAGGAGCTTCCAAAGATGCAAGGTCTTAGGCAGCGGTCCACCATACCTCTTCCCTTCGCTTGCTTCATGAGCAGCGTTGACAATGACCGGGACAAGGTAAGCTTCTTTCGCAATTTTTGCTAGGGCGTTGATGTGGCTGGCGACATGATATGTAGTGAAAAGCTGGTCCGTACCTTCAGAATCATCGGCAAATTCCTCCCAGGCGTGGCTATTAGCAGTACAAAGCATTGAGCCAGACTGGACAAGGAAGTCCAAGTATTCATCCGGAACTTTCTTCTCAAACGCAGTCAAGGCTGCGTCACAGCGGTCTCTGGAACAATTCGAGTAGCCAACCTCGCTGCCAATTTGCAGCATGAGAATGGTGTCATAGTCTGAATCGGCCGTCTCGACTTGCTGCACAAACTCTGCAAAAGCTGTCTTCTCTGCCGTAGTGAAATCTGGCCCGAAAAGCGAGATCATGGGCGTAGGTACTAACACCCATGCATCTGTACTGCCCTCCTCCGTAGGAAGTATCTGTAACTCGTAGGTCTTCAGTTTTGGGAAGCGCGCAGGATCTGTCTTAATCCACGGTGGCGCATAGCTTGACATATCTACCCGCAACATACGTCAGCCAATTCTTGTCCTGTAGAGGCTTCAAGTGCAAATTGTACTTGAAAAGGCTTGATATGTAGGCATGGGGTAAGTTCAGAAGAAAGTGAAAGCGACGGGGCAGACAAGACCTTGACAGCAACGCTCTCATAAGACAGTAACGTGGATCGACGTGAAAACGTATGTATGGAAGATGATAGAACCCACATTGTGCGCAGCCACCCTTCATGGAGCCATACCACGAGACATGGAGTATAACTCTGATTCCTGCCTCTCGCGCTTGAGCAACAAGACTTGCGACCAAGTCTGTGTTGAACTCTCCTTCTTTCGGCTCAAAGACCTCCCAGGTGACGGCGAGAAGGACGGTGTTTAGACCGAGAGTTTTGATGTCTTGCCACTTGCGAGCCATGCTGGCAGCAGATGAGGAAGTTGAAGGGGCGATCTCTCCTCCAATAATGAGAAAGGGTTTGCCATCGACAATCAGACGGTGGTAGTCTCCTTCTTTCTTGAAGTGAGGCGGGGGTTTCGCGGTGTCGAGATTGGACATTATGGCTTCTGCGACTCTTGCCTCTTCTCGTCCTCGTGTATCCTGAGAGGAATCAGTGGACGTCGGTGCGAAGATAGAAAGGCTATAGAGATATCAGAACTTACGATCAGTTGTTTTGATTTAGGGATGAAGTCAGGCAGTGAGACTAAAACCGAGCCTCAGATCAGTGTAACGATGAGACGATCTTCGGACTGTTGGACTCTAACGATCTCATAAGAGGGAGGAAAAGCAAAGACGAGTGCTAGTAGACGAAGGGGAAACGCCTGAGGTCGATATGGGTCTGAATCCCTCCGGCCTGCCAGCAATCAAGAGGTGAAAGACACAAAAGTAAACAGAGCTTAGCCTCGAGGCGCCTGCGTGGGTCAAGCGGTCAGGGGAGAGTTTTATATTCCATTGCGAGAGTAGAATACTCACTTTCAACCCTAGGCCCCACGTCTCGTACTTTCCATAGCTTCAGTCTTGTCTGTTATTACCTTTTCCATTCAGTCCCAAGAAGGAGGTGAAAACAAAAACAAAACACAGCTTCACACAATCCTTTCTTGCACAGGCACCCCATTTTATATCAGACCAACCCGCCAAACAACAAAGGTTTGCCTTCAGTCTTTTGTCCCTGGAAGCATTGATCTCAGCATACATGAATTCAAACTAATCCTCCTTGATTCAGATGGCCAATGTGACCAAGAAGCCTGCGGGCAAGACCTCCAAGCTCCGCCCAGCTCGATCCCTTCCCAAAGCCAAGGCGCCTCGCCCAAAGAAGCCTCAGAATGAGAAGGATTACGGCAGCACCCTTGTGTGCCGCTATTGCCAGATGTAGAGAAGCCGCTGTGATGAGATTCGCCGTCACATCCGCAAGGCGCACTACCCGACTCTTTTTCCACGTCTCAATCTCGAACAAGCCAGAGCCCGCATCCGCACTGTTGACGCGCCCTGAACCCTCACGGCTGTCAGACCAAGAGAGTCAGCTACAACCTGCCGATGCCTAGCTATCGACCTTCTCATATTTGATGGCTCAAGACACTGGAGCTCATCTAAAAACAAGATGGAGCGTTGGAGAACTAGATTGACTGGATGGAGGAACAACAAGATGATGGAACTGTGTTTACCTGTACATTACTTGGACTAAGGGCTTCGCCAGATGTAACAAGTGCTCGGGATTAAAGTACGAAATGAATCAGATTACTTCTGCCAATGAGATTCATAAACAATCCTGATGCAGATCGATGCGTGAAGCAAGTAGAAATGTATTGAGAATGCTCCCTTGCCCTCCTTGATAACCCTTTGTATTGGTCCAGGCTATGACCGATATGGTCCACAAGGCCAGCGGAGTATCAAATGGACATTCGGACTTACGGAGATTGATATCCATTCAAAGATTTATCTCTTCCTTGATGGAACACCAATGGAAGAGATCGACTACATACTGCACTACAGATTCCTACACTCTCGAGCAAAGTCAGGTCTACCAGTCCTGGCGGAGATTTAAGCAGATGTCAATACCGTCTGCGGACCCGGCGGACTCGTAGATACAACCAAGCGGCAACCAAAAGGATGGTGTGGCAACATTTGGGGGACAAATAACCACTACAAGATCTTGGCCGTGAGCTCAGGTGTTGCGTCTACGCGTCGTCATCCGCGCTATTGGGTTCTATGGGAACTTCTGCCTCGCCCTAGTCGCTGTTCTCCGCGAATTACTACCACGATTTGATGTTTCTCTCGATAAGACAGCCATAATTGTCAAGCGCCGTCGACATACACGGAATGCTCGGGAATCTCGACTTATGGATCGGCTCTATGCTTGATGTCATCGATATTTTCCGCACTTCTGCCAGATGAGCGAGCCTAGGTGCAGCAACGTCACGCTGGATTCGTCTGAAGTGACGCCTGGAGAAAAGGCAAGCCGCGAAACGTCTTTCCGTCATAGAATTCGGATCCTTTCATCATTTCAAGTCCACCTTTGCTAATTGCCACGGACTTTCAGCGCCACTTTGTCTCAACATGAGCCGAATCTTCCTCGTCAGCACGGTGCACTGCACCTCCCTACCGGACAATTAAGGCGGTCTGCTTGTCCGTAATACACCGCTGACTGTGAATGACGACTGAGATTTTGGATACATGAGAATACATAAATCGACGGCGAGGTTTGGGTCTCAACCCCGTGAGCTTTATCACGCGAACTAGATTGAAGACACTAACCATGGATTTACTTCGAGATACAGCGTTTGGGCACGTCGTCCGGTTCGTGACGAGGGGGAAACTCAAGCAGTTCCAATATTACGAAGAACGACACCCTGAAGTGTGGCGCGAGTATGTTGACGCGGATAAGACTGCCAACGTCGCACGCTTCGGCCAAGTAGAGCCCCCCGAGAAGGAGATTGATGAGAACAAGAACGGAGACGACGATATTTGGAGAAGAGGGGCCAGCATTGACTCTGCGCGAACAAGAGTGCCATGCGATGAGGAGTACAATGAATTGAGTGGCACGAGGATCGATCCTGAGAAAGGCAAGAATATCCATCTTGTTGCTTTTCTACCCAACGACCCTGAGGTGAGCTGCTCCCCTAAGGACGTCGAAAAGCTGCATCTTAGCTGACATAACTTAGAACCCTCAGAATTGGTCTTTGAAGAAGAAGGTCTTTGTGACTTTCCAGATATGTCTGCTTACCGTTGGCGTCTATGTCGGCTCGGCCATCTACAGCGCCGGTGTGCTGGACGTAATGCAAGTATTCGGCGTCAGCCAAGTCGCTGCTCTACTCGGCTTGACGCTTTTTGTGGCTGGCTATGGCTTGGGTCCGGTATGGCTACCTCTAGTTGGATACCTTTCTTCACTGACGAGAACCGTAGATGATCTGGAGCCCCTTATCCGAAATTCCTCAGATCGGCCGCAACCCGATATACATCAGCACTCTCCTCCTTTTTGTCCTCCTACAGATACCCACCGCACTAGCAGTAAACTTTGGCATGCTGCTGGCTTTCCGATTTATTACGGGATTCGTCGGCTCGCCTGTTCTAGCGACCGGAGGCGCCACTCTAGCAGATATCTGGTCACCCAAGAAAAGAGCTTACGCCATAGGAATCTGGGGTGTCGCGGCAGTCTGTTCTCCAACACTGGCTCCCGCAATTGGAGGGTTCGCGGCTATGGCAGAAGGCTGGACCTGGCCCATTTGGGAGTTGATGTGGTTGAGCGGGTTTGCGTTCGTTCTCTTGTTCTTCTGCCTTCCCGAAACGAGTGCCAACAATATCCTGTATCGACGAGCAAAACGTCTTCGGAAGCTCACGGGAAATAATAAGCTCATGAGCGAGTCCGAGTTGATGGCAGAGGAGATGACTCCAAGGGATATCATGATGATCTCGCTAGTTCGACCGTTCACATTGAACTTCACGGAACCCATGGTCTTCCTTTTGAATCTCTACATCGCGCTAATCTATGGGCTTCTCTATATCTGGTTCGAATCGTTCCCCATCGTTTTCACTGGCATCTATGGGTTCAGTCTTGGTCTTCAAGGAGTCGCTTTCATGGCTATCTTGGTTGGTGCCTTAATTGTGATTCCGCCGTTCTTCTGGTACTTGCACAAGTATCTCGAGCCTCAATTCGACGAGAACGGGGACATTCAGCCTGAGAAACGTCTTCCTCCTGCATTCATTGGCGGCTTCGCCATTCCCATTTGCCTCTTCTGGTTCGGTTGGTCGGCGAGACCAGATGTCCACTGGATCATGCCCATCATCGGCTCTGCGTGGTTCAGTATCGGGTCGTTCTTGTTGTTCAACTCGGTCCTAAACTACTTACCAGACGCATATCCGAATGTTGCGGCCTCGGTACTTGCTGGCAATGATCTCTTCAGAAGCGCCTTTGGCGCAGGGTTTCCGTTGTTCGCAAACGCCATGTACACCAAGTTAGGGGTCGCATGGGCGAGTTCCCTTCTGGGATTCTTGTCGATCCTGTTCATTCCCATTCCTATCATCCTGTACAAGGTGAGAGAGCAAAACATTTCTTACCGTTTTTAATCCTTCTGACTCCATGTATAGGTTGGTCCGAAGCTACGCAGAGACTACAGCAGACATGCGCGAAAGGATATTTAGATTGTACTCCATACCACATTAGTCGCAGGTTCCGTTACGCCGACAGATGGTCTCAAGTCTCACAGGATCGGGCGAGCTTAAAGCACCACAGAAAGAGGGTATGTCGTGGGGCGTTGTGGGCATGTTAAAGTGCATATGTGATCAACTATTCAATAGGAATTAACTGTTTGCTTTGATATAAAGCCGTGAAGCGTCAGACCAGCGACATCCCCCCAAAATATCTTCTTGCCCGAATGCCTCTGTCTCTGGTTTCCACATGCCATCGCACACTTAGATACTATATCTAAAGAGCTTGTCCTGTTTGTCTGTCAAGTCACTCTCAGGAGCACCGCCTGCATCCAAGACAACCTCATCCTGACTCTGAATGTTTTGACCGTCAGACTGGGCGGCATCTCTCTTTTTGTTGTCCTTTGCACAAAGGTATCTGTACACGACAATCTCAACAAACAACAAGCACCACGTGACGATCGCTGTGACAACGCCGTTGAAGTATCGCGGCTTCTTGGTCCAGAGCTGAGGTGCGCCGATGCATCCTGCACAGTACCCGACAAAGAACATCGCGTTGACGATGGCGCGTTTCGTGTTTCCCTTGACGTTCGATGCCGTGAGGGAGAGGAGGATGGACCATACGGCAGTGATACAAGACGCCTATGCAAGGTTAGTAAGATGTCAGGACACGGCGTTAAGGATGTTTGACTTACGATCCAAGACGCAGCAATCATACCCCATCCGGCATCGGTGGACAATTTCATAAGGAGTACGTTGCCAACGAGGGGCGGCAGGATGAGAATTAGAGCCACCAGGCTTCGTTGCTTGGGGAAGAGCATGCAGCCGCAGACACCAATCCACAACATTCCAATTTGAACGGCGCCTACAAACATGTTAGACAGGAACATCAGAGCCAATCTAAGAGAACTACATACCAGATGGAGCAGTGTAAAGCATGGTCTGGTACTTGTCGTAGCCAATGCTGTTGATAACAAGTGAAGCGAACTACACAGGGTTAGCTGGTTTCACCCGGCTGAGAGAAAGGTAAAACGAACCGTAAGAACTGGAGACTGCATGGTCACCAGAACACCGAACCAGAACACGAACCATGTTCTAATGTCAAAGACAGCCTCCTTGAGCTGCGTCATAGAAAAGGAGGTCTTATCGCCACCTTCACGATCCTTGGCCATGCGCATAGATAGGACTTGTTTCTGGCGCTCGTTCAGGAACCACGCATCCTTGGGGCCATTCGGCATGAAGAGGTAGAAGAGAACGCCGGCGAAAGAGGTAATTGCGCCACAGACGAGGAACAACACTCTCCATGGAGCGATGGCATGGGTATTCTTGGCGATGCCGTACATCAGGAGGGAACCGCAGATCTGAGCGACTCCGTTCATGGTGATCCAGAGCCTATTCAGTATCAGTAACACGATATGTTCGTCGGCTTTGGGAAGTCTTACGCTGTTCGGAGGGCATGCTCGTTGCTTCGGTACCAGATACTTGTGATTGTGATAAAGGCGGGAGAGACAGCCCCTTCGGCGAAGCCGAGAAGGAATCGAACGGCAGCGAAGCCGGCGTAGTTTTGCGGGGCCGCGAGACACATACAGATGATGCCCCAGATGATGCTGCGAAGGGGCGATGTCAGCAGCTGTACCTAACAGAAAAGAAAGATGTCACAAGAAGGGATATACTTACACAGTGACCCCGACAAACTTGGTGAGATGGAATCTGCTCATCAAGTAGATAAAGGGATATTCCGATACTAGCTGGCCTGTTCCGCGATGATTAGATACTGGACAGCTTAAACATTATTATTGCAGATGTACGAACCGACGTAGAAGATGGATGAACACCACGAGTATTGTGTGCTAGTCAGGTTCAGATCGGTGATGAGACCGAACACCTGGGATCTTGTGGTCAGCAACTTGAAGTTGGGGCGCTGTCAGAAGGTAAACAGCTTACACTGGCGTAACTAAGACTTTGCTTGTCTAAGTATTGCAGAAAGAAGACGAAGCACATCTGGAGCAGTATATTAGTCGAGTTGTCCATCAGTTTTGGTTGCTAAGCCTAGTTACTCACCATTGGCAGGATGGCGAGGTCGATCTTGCGGAGAACTTCCTTTTCCTCTTCAGGGGTATAGCCATCCGCAAGATCAACAATCTGTCCAGTCTTCTCCTCCATCCCTTCCGAAGGGACGTCGCCTCCTTGTTGCTTGGTCATCGCATCGATCTTGGTGTCGCCGGCTGAAGCCATTGTTGTCAGTGCTCGTTTGGAAAGTCTGAAGTCAAAGTCAGAACAGCCTTTAACAACTGCCTCTCTTCCCAGAAAAACACGTCGAAATCCCACCCTCTCGGAGAACGGCAGAAGTGCCGGTTTTAAGATCCACGAGTTCGTCGTCTCCACATGTCGCATGGCATGTCATCTGTCGACCCGGGGTTATGTTTCCATCCCCCGCACTAAGAGATGCATATCAGGACATTCTCCAGAAATCCCTTCGATTGGATGTGACTAGTGAAGATAGCGGTGATACCGGAGGTGGGGCGAGCCATATTGCCGACGACAAAGAATGTTCGTGACAGATACCCGACGCGGGTATCGGCAACATGGCTTCGTGGTACCAAGTTTCCGATGATAGACTGCCACACTACCGATAAGTCTAGCAATGCCAAATGTAAGTGGTTGATAATAATAATTGCAGTATGAAGAAGTGCCGTGAAATGAAGCCAATCGGATAAATAAACATCTTTGGAAAAGAGTGAGCAGACATCCGAGTTGCAGACACGGCAATTCACCATTTGTAAAGTCTTCGCTCCTTTTTTGACTTTCCCCTCACCTCCGCCTCCATTCCAAGCTTGGCGTAGACAACCTAATCTCTCAGAAATCATCCAGCACTCACGATGGTCACCGAAGCCGACTTGAAGCCCTGGCTCCGTAGCCCCGTCCGACGATACATTCTCACCAACGCTACCATCGTCGACGTGACAGATGGTAGCCTCCGCCCAAACGCAGCTGTTCAGCTCAAGGATGGCTACATAGACACTATTACCGACTCGACAGATTCGATAATCAAGACCGCCGTAGAACAAGGCTTCGAGGTGATTGACTGCTCTGGCAAGTTCATCTGTCCAGGTCTCATCGACTCACACGTCCACTTCGTCGCGGTCCCCGGATTCGGCGACCTCTCCAAAGCATTCGGCAACGCCAACGATGTCTCGCTTCTTCGCCAACCATACGTCGCCGCACAGATGCTGCACCGCGGGTTCACAAGTGTGCGAGACTGCGGTGGTGCGCAGCAGGCATTGAAGGAAGCCATCAACGACGGTGTCTTTCCCGGCCCAAGGCTCTTCATCGCGGGACATGCCCTGTCGCAAGCGGGCGGCCATGGAGACATCCGTGGTGTGCACGATCACTCCGAGTGCTGCGGCGGGTCAACAAACGGGCTCGGAAGGCTATGCAACGGCGTGCCGGAGTGCATGACCGCCGTCCGCGAGGAGATTCGCGGCGGAGCAGACTTTATCAAGATCATGGGTTCCGGCGGCGTCTCGACTCCGACCGATAGAATCGACCACCTCCAATTCACCGGCGCCGAGATCCGAGCCATGGTTGAATGTGCCTCGAATGCGGGCACCTACGTCACAGCCCACGCATACACAACGAAAGCCATCAGGCATTGCATCGATAATGGTGTGCGGGGGATTGAGCACGGCAACTTTGTCGATGCTCCCACGGCGAAGCTCATGGCGGAGAAGGGCGTCTATCTTACTCCCACCCTCATCACATACGCTCAGATGGCCTCGCCAAAGTGGAAAGGCTATCTGCCTCCTGAATCTATGTCGAAGAACGAGGAGGTGCTCAATGCCGGGTTGGTGGCGCTCAAGACTGCGTACGACGCCGGTGTGACAATCTGCTTCGGCACTGACCTTCTTGGGCCGCTCGGAGCAGCACAATCATTTGAGTTCTCATTGCGAAGCAGAGCTGTGCCGTCACTAGCGGTACTGCAAAGTGCGACGCTCAATGCCGCGAAGATGGCCGGTAGAGAGGATTCGCTGGGTCAGATCAAGGAGGGCTTCGAGGCAGATCTTCTCATCACAGACGCCAACCCTGTGGAGAACGTGTCCATCTTTGATGACCCCGAGGCCCACGTGTTTGGTGTCTTGAAGGAAGGCAGGATATATAAGAGCAGGTGGAGCGGTCTGGTCGAGGATGCCACAGTCCCTGTCAGAATCAAGCCGGCGTTGTGAGGTCTGTTTGTTGTGAGGTCTGTTTGGAACTTGGAATCTGGAACATTTGAGGATGTTTATGAGAAGAGCAGCAGCTCATAGAACCGCAGAAATTAAGTCAAACTGTGTAATGAGGCTAAGAGGCCTATGGCGTCCATGAAGGACAACCAACTGAGCATCCCAAAGTCAGCGACGCGTCGAAGCGACCTTGTGAAGTACATGTACCTGGTGTCCTTACGCGTGACTGATAGGTCTCGCGACAGGAGCCAATGACAAGAAAAGTCGGAATCTCTCTCCGACGGGACGGAACGGGGTGGGAAACACAATGATAATTCCCTAAATAAGGTGATGTGATGTGAACATTCTCTTCCTTTCACCTCACTGAACAACTTCACCTCGACGCGTGATCCCTGCCGCCACAGTGGGGACTGTTCTTATCGGCAAAGCGTCCGAAATGCGGAGAGACCCCAAGAACTATCTTGCTCCGGACATCTTTCTTTCTTCCACACCAACTTCCTCCCAGCACTGAACACTCATCTCAGAGTTATACGAGTCTCAGAGACCAAACAAACTCTCATCCATCATGACGATTCCATGTTCGTCATATGAAAGCGACACTTCCGTCAATGGAGTCCCCCGCAGAGCGCCGCCGCCGCCGCCGTAGGGTACCGGATGCAGTTCGAAAGCGGGCACCCCGAGCCTGTGACCGGTGCAAGGCCCGCAAGAACAAATGTATCGAGACTCCTTCTGGGGTATGTCTACGGTGCACTGAGGGATCTCACCCATGTCACTTCGAACGGGACCGTAGTCCAGCTGGTGAGGGAAATGATTCAACGACGACTTTGAGAACCACAGGGGTGAGATCTATCGGCGTCACAGAGCGAGAGTCGAATCGGACGGATAACGATGCCTCTTTTACTCTCAACACGCCTTTGGGTCAAAGCATGAACGATGACTTCTCTCCCGCAGACAGTGCCCCCTCGGAAGCCTTCATGTGGCCGCGCTTCCTATCTCGTTTGCGGGATGCCTTTTGTCTCGACTCACAACCGCCATCCGGAGACCAGGATCTGGCAAGACTGCAACCTCGAATATCGGATACACCTCCAGCTGACCCTGCCGAGCTTCGACGCATCAAGAGGGCAGTGAAGAGCTTTCCCCCGCGCGGTGTTGCTGACTTCCTGGTGTCAGTCTGCATCGCTTACGGGACCGATATCTTCTTTTATCTTGACCAGAGCCACTTCATGACGGAGCTTGATCAGCTATACAATGACGAGCAGTCGCCTTTGAGAGAAGATGCCGGCTTTGTTTGTCTTGTCTTAGCAGCGTTTGCGCTAGGGAGCCAATGGACAGAGCTGGCTAGACCGGAAGACCTGAGCAGTACGGCCTCGACGGAGAATCGGAGCGTTGACCCTGGTCGTATCTTCTACAACCAGGCTCGCATCTTGATCTCTGATTTGCTAGACCGACCTTGCATCAAATCAGTTCAGGCGACCTTTATCTTGGGCGTTTACCTGATGCCGGCTAGCGCCATCAGTGCCTCCTATGTGTACATGGGATTAGCACTGCGAAAGGCTCTGGCTATTGGGCTCCACCAAGAACCTGACGACCCCTCTTTGACTGAAGACGAGAAGGAGACCAGACGGAGGCTGTGGTGGTCGATTTACTCCCTTGAAAGGTATGTCTTCTCTTTTGCTGCATCATGCCCTGAGACATGCTAACAGCGACAGGACGGTCACCATCAAGCTCAACCGACCGCGTTCAGTGGATCAGGAGATCATCACAGCGTGTCTGCCGAAGCCGACTTCTCGAGATGCGTCTCAGAAGTTTGACAACGTACAGCATCAAACAGCAAATGCAGCTTTCGTCAGAATCATTGACAAGCTTTCAGAGCCTGGGTCAGTTGGCTTGAGTAGTCCTAAACAATGTCCCATGGCTAATGCGACCGACAGAGCATGGTCAAATACCAATCATTCGCATACAGGAGCTTCAAGACGTCCCACAGATGCCCAAATATCTCTGAAGGCATGGAAAAAGGGACTCCCGTCATCACTCAAGTTACAAAATGTCGATCCAAAATCGTCCAGTTATCGCGCCGTCTTCCACTTACATCTCAATTACTACTTCGCCTGGATCGATATGGGCAAAGTCTCCGTGGTGACTGTTGTCCGAGCTCGTCTGCAGACAATCTTCCACGCAAGCCCCGGGCCCTCTGATGTGTCCAGAGACGTCGAGCAGTCTTCAGAGGCGTGCATCAAGGCAGCCAAGAAGATGCTGGAGCTTTTTGAGGGGCTTTGTCGCGGCGGCAATATGGCGCGATTCTCCTTCACAGACTTCCAAGGATGCAGCATTGCTACGATCATCGTCCTGCTTGCCGGAATTCTGGACCGCGATTCCGGTTACGAGGGTCGGGTGGCTTTTGGTCTTGACTGCCTCCGCAAGATGTCCAGCTTCGGGAACACGACAGCAAAAATGGGAGTTCGCTTTGTTGAGGCCCTGCAGTCCATCACGAATGAGGCCAGGTCCAAGCTGGTGATGGCTCGGAGAAGAGAGATGAATCAAGCTCGAGAAGCCTCATCAGGACAGGCAGAGGGCTATGGACGATGGGCAGAATGGCTGGCGAAGGCGGAGGTTGTTGGCAGTCCTTCGGGCGACGAGTCTGATCTTGAGATGGAGCAGTCGGGGCAACCAACGGTTTCGGCTCACGGCCCGTTGATCACGCCGGACATCATGCTCTCTTCTCCGTGGGAGGAAGCAGCGGCTCTCCAGTTACAAGAGATGTCGGCTTCGGGCTTCGGCATACCAGCCGGGGACGGGGTAGCAGCCGATGAAAGCACACTAATGCCTTTGCCTACGGGTGAAGAGGCCTGGCTGCCATCTTTTGCATGGAATGATGATCAGATGTACTTGATGGGCTTGACTGGTATGGACGGGCTAGACTTCATGGGAGGGATCTCATAATGCCATCAGTACTTTACATGTACTACCCTTTGAAACTAGCGAGTCCGATCTGAATTTGCAACTAATTACTTTAGCTAGCGAACCTTACTCTGTAAAGCTGGATAATTGTTTACTTTATCTTCCGATACTATCCGGCTTTCTCATTCCCATCACTCCCTTGGTCCTATCGCCTTCAGTATCTGCTTCAGGCAATCGTCTGGGCTCTTTGAGGTATCAACCACAATGACATTCTCCTTTGGCCGACTCGGGTCGTCGAGCCATTTCTGAAACGGCGCGTTCTTGTCCTCGCTTCCGTGAGCTGCATCACGGTCAGTCGGAAGGCTCAACGCCACCCAAGCCGGCGTCGTCTCATCCAGCTCAGCGACATCAGTCTGGGATGTGCAGTCGATGTACCAGTACTCAAAACCGTACGTTTTTGCCAGCGCTGTTCCTCGTTTCATCGTCTCCTCGTAGCTCCTGTTACAGTCTATGACGACATTGTGACCCTCTTTGAGTCTGCTTTCCACACGTTGCCAAAGCTCTGAGTAGGCTTGCTCCGTAGCCTGTTCGAGGGTGACTCCTTCTTGAAAGAGCCAAAATTTTAAAAAGTTCGACTAAAAGGACGGTAGCCTTGAGAGACATGAATAGGAGGGTCTCGGTGGTGGCCTTTGTCGTGCCTAGAGCATTTGATCCTGGTGCCCCTGGCATCTGGATCAAGAACCGTCGAGAAGGTTTCGATTCTTCTGAAGACATTGTGATGATTCGGATGTGAGTTGCTGCTTTTAGCCAGAGGTTTGGTTGTCGAAGTCTTTGAAAAGTCTGCAGCTATCAAGTTGGGAGTAGCAGGAAAAGAACTGTGTGTGAGTGGAGATAGTAATCAGTGAGGCGGGAACAGAGGCAGTTCATCATGAGGATATGGTATATATAGGTATGCTGGACAGGTAGCTTGCATATCGAGAATCATCGCTGAATCACTCAAGACACTCATTGCCACAGCCTAATATCGCGTACTGAGTACCGTGTATAATACTGAATGTGTTCACTGCTGTCACAGTGACTTGCCTTGATCTGCAGCATTTACTAAACTCCCAAGACAAGAGGTAGGGGTGCTCCAGATGATGATAAATTCTTTGCGCCGAGTTCAATCACCCACACTTGAACTCCACACGCCCAGAGCCAAATCCGCCCTCTTTTGTTCCTCCTTGTATTCTCGAATCACTTGCTACATTGCCATCTCATGGACTAGGGCTTCTCCGAGTAAGTTCTTGTCCCTCCGGACCCTGTCCAAGGGGAATTCGTCCCTTTCTTCTCGAGAGTCCATGCTTCATGGTCGCAAAAAGACCGGGCATGTCCGATCCTGGGCCATTCATAATCACAGCCGGATGAACGACATTGAAGACCGCAATGGCGAGCAGCATCGGCAGAGCTTCCAAAACGTAAAAGTAAGCCTCGTGTGTGATCAGAACATTGTCGATCCCGTGGCCCGAAGAAAATTCAATCAGGCGGTAGACGATCCGCACGGAGATCATGCCGAGGGAAAAGTAAAGCGCCCATATGAGAGGCTTCCAGGAGCGAGATTGCTTCCCAGAAAGCTTGTCCAGCCTTTGCATTTCAACCTGGAACTTCAATGCCAAGGTAACGAAGATGAGGATGAAGAACTCTTGGAGTCCGATGCCGCCCATGTAGATGTGAATCGCCTTCATCTGTTCCGCGGGTGGCGCTGTCGGGCCGGCCATGCTGCCTCCAGTGAGCTGCACAGCGAATGATACGATGTCAAGTGCGACAAAGATGGCGGCGAATGTTGCGGCGGGGATGCGGAGGAGAGAGCGATAGGGGTGGAAGAAGTAGATCATCCGGCCCAAGGTCATGTATGCAAAGGCGTTCACCCCTGGACACTTGTTAATCTTCTGCTCTTCGCGAATTTGAAGAAAGACTTAATGCTTACAAATAGGCGCAAGCAGGATGAAAATCTGAAAAACGAGGTAGATGCCGTTACTTTGCTGGTTCTTGCTGCTTGCAGCTCGGAAGATGAAGGCCAGAGTCTCCCAGATGCTCGCCATAATAATAACCCAGCACCATCTCTATGTACCAGTCAGATAGTGAACAAATCACGCCGTGTTAGTAGTAGTTGTAAAACGTACGAACCTTCTTGTGCTTGGCGGCCTGCCAGATGTGGACGACGGTTAAAATGCCGAAGAGGGCCGCAAACACCGCCGCAGCTGCGAAGCTAGGGTAGTAGTTCCAGATGGCACCGCATTCGCCAGGTGGGATGTAGCCATTGGCGTCGGGTTCAATCGTCTGGATACATGTCGGAATGGCGATGTCGATGGTCTTTGCTGGGACTGTGACGTAGCTGTTTGTCACGCCAGGAATGGTGATGTATTTTGTAGCGATGAAATCTCCTGTTGGGATAGATGATGTTGCGGAAGAAGTTACGGTATTGTCTTGACGTTTTGCCAAAGAGTCTGGCGAGATTGGCGTTGGCAAAGGTCCCGATGGCAAAGCGAGGGCGGTCGTGACCGCGGCCAGCATGATCCAAGACAAGTGCATTGTGATGAGTGTCGAAGAAGGCAGAATGACGAGGAGGATGGTGCTTGATGATGTTCAATTTCTTCATCTTCATGACAAAGTCTGGTGTTCTCGGGTTTATAAGTGAGAGTCTCAAGCCTTCATTCACCGTGTAAGTGAAAGTTGACAATCGCGATGCCTAGCGATGCACAGCCCCCCCACGTTCGCAGCTGTTATGTAAAGAAGCGAGCCGACCAATCGTAGCCTCTCGAGGGGCGCAGCTCGTCGATGATAACAGAGCAAAGTGTGAACCCCTGCAACGTCAGCACGGTAGCAGCTAGCTTGAGACCTGGCCGCGTATGAGGCGTAGCTTTATGTTCCTTCGAGGGGTTTAGCGTCATCGGAAGAGACATGCGGAGGGGAGCAAGCCTTGAGCGAAAAATAGCAACTGGATAATCATGGCTTGCGCTTCAATAGTACTCGAAACCACTCTTCTTGGACAGTGATAGGCCCTCCGTGCTCCCTCATCAAGAGAGCCACCTTCTTCCACATGGAGATGGCTCCATTCTTCTCGTGAACGAAGCGTACCTCATTTTGCATAGCCGAATCTTTAATTCGCCGTCCTTCTGGTGGCAATGTACCGTCGTCGACGACATTGGCAATATCCTCATCGTGTCCGAGGTCCAGCTCGTGCTCAAACTCGACAATCTTGCGCCCGAACGCCAGAACGGTGTTGAAGTCCCAGAGATTCTCCCTCTCGTGCGCGATCGTCTTCATAAGACCTAAAGCAGCGATGCGCAATGACAAGGACCGACACTTGATAAAGACGAATCCCAGCAGAGGGCTGAAGCCCATCTCAAAGGTGAACTTGGCCCGACCGATCCTCTGCCACATTTCTCGGAAGATGGCTTCCACTTCACGGCCAAGGTCGATGATCCGTTGGAACTTATCCAGATGCAAATCGTACACCAGTTCTCCGCGAGAGAAACATGTGCTCAGCCAAATCTTGCCCACGTGCCACTTCATCTCGAGCAAGCGTTCGACGAGCTCCTCTCGCATGGCGGCGCGCTGGCAATTATTTGGGGACTTCTGCACCATATACGCTTGAAATGCCGCAGCCCAGTCATCTAGCAGTTCGTCGATCTCATCTCTCTCCTGCATTGTCAACAGATCTGGCTTGGGATGCGTCTCATCACCGAGGCGATACTCGTCAGCAGCCCGCACGAAGCGAATCGCGCGCACGAGTAACGGGTCCAGCGCCGCTTGAACCTGCTTCAAATTGTAGAACGGAGGTACTGGAACTGGATACGAGTCTGGTATGGCCGGAAACGTTTCCGGTCGGGCACCGAAGAAGAAAGGGAACACTCCAAGGCGACAGAAAGCCGGCGTTAGGTGCTCTCGAACGAACCGCGACGTGGACTTGGACCCATTCAAGATGTTGATGCCATGCCTGCAGTGGTCGATGGCACCCTTGCATTCGCCGCGGAGCATATCGATACACACAAAGAGGATGCACACGAACAGGACCGTCTCCTGGTTATTCGTTGTTCGGAGGTGTTTGATCGCCTCGTTATAGTGCGCAACCGCAAAGGAATTCTTCTCCGAGTGCCGGTCTAGGGGATCCTCCTTGAACTTCTCGTACAGCGAACTGATGGCCAATGCGGCATGTTTCGCAGCAAGCTCCTGGTGAGAAACCTGAGAGACAAGATGGGTCCAGAAATAACTATCCAAGGGCCCGGACAAGACGGGCGCGACGACTTTGCGGAAGAAACTCAGGGCCCGGAGTTCTGCGTCCGACGCGGCCTGGGTCGGAGGCGGATGGACGCGAAGCAGCTGAGCCCAGGAATATGTCCCGGTTGGCGGCGTCACATAGCCATCGCATCTCCGGCCCGTGCTGACGCACCTGTTGCATGCCGGGCGTGCTTCATCACATTTGACTCTTCGAATTCTAGGCTGGTTAGCTCTAACGTACGTGTAGACATGATGCCTTAGAGCATGCGGCCGCTGGACTCACTTGCAGGTCACACAGCCCGTCTTAACCTTTGCTACTCCGAGTCGAGCCATTTGCGCGGGACAAGTACAGGCAAGCAGATGAGATAAGGCTGTTGGGTTGTTGTGTAGTGGAGGTGGAGTTGCGCCCTGAGAGACGCGTTTCTCACCTATCTCGTAAAGATGCGAGGTGGCCTATGAAGAGACAGGGAATCGATAGTAAGGTGTGTTTGGTGTCAGGGAACGAGCCTCCTCAAGTAATGTGAGCTTGAGTACAGATAGTCCCCGCGCCCTCGTCTCGACTAGGTGGACGGACTAGGCGATGTGCCATGGAACTGAATCCCGAGCCACATAGCGTGACGTTGTCGTTCGACGGCGTTCGTTTCAGAAGCGAACAAGAGAGCCTGAGACCAGAAATGCAGCATAAATACACAGTTCCCGACGTGTCTTAGTGTCCAGGTTCGCAGTGACCACCCCTCCCTTGCCCACGCTCATGTCACCATCAGCCACCCACTCCCTCCATCCACACAACCATACCAAAGAGAAGATCGGGCGGCCGCTTGTGAAAATAAGCCCCGAATCCCTCGAGAAAGAGTCCACTTTCTGCGGGGCAAATGCGACCAGGCCAATCGGGCGCCGTGGACTCTAATTAAGGTGTGCTTATCTAAGTTGTTCTCTCTCGCTTCTTCCTGCGCTTCAGTGTCATCTCAACTTCAACAATGACATGACAAGACACCTTCATTTCTTTCTCATTACATGATTCCGACACTCCAAAGTCCAGACGCATTTCCGCGTTACCGAGCAAGAGGAACCTTCCAATACAGACGTCCAAACTATCGATGCCGAGGCTAAGGTGGTCGAAGCCAAGCGCCTCTACGGAGTACAGTCCAACGAATCATCTCTCGATGAACACGAAAGTGCTAATAAGCAATGTCGATGCTGATCATCAGCACCGCCACTAGGCCAAAGTGGAAGAACGGGAAAACGGCCCGCGAGAATGTGGGAAGCTTCGTGGGCGTCCGAGATCGGGCCCGGGAGGCATTTGGCATACCGGCCGATCTTGAAACCGCCGGAGATGCAGCGGCAGCATAACAAGTGGACACGATGGCGCCGGCTCTGATCGAAGATTACGGCTAGAAAAAATCGTCAAGTCATATTCTTGAGCTCACACATTAGTAGATGATGGCCTCACGAAGCCTTGTTCGACACTCTCTACTCTTTCAAAGGCGCTCGGCAAGACAGAAACGAGCCTCAAGCGTCTCTCATTATCGCATCTCCGACCTATCCGGCAAATACTACGTAAGGATCTCCGTCCGATGTCTCTCGCTCTGTCGCTCGCTAACCTTTGAGGCCCCGCTGGAGCCGGAGGAATATTGAGTCCTCGACCTGGCCGAGACTCTCCCTCGCGCGCGCGTTCACCATGGTGGACAAGGCGGGATTGCGACGACACCGATGTCCGACCTCGCCGAACTATTTCCCCGCATGTCACTCTTGTCAACTTGTCAACACAGCTCGAAACACTCAGTCAGACTTCTGTCGCAGCTTGACATGAACCGGCATCCCGTCAGAAATCTGCGGTGTGCCCTTTTCAGTCTGGTAACACCGGTCTCCTTCCACAAAGATTTTGGGGTTCGTGGTATTTCCGCTGCGCACGGAGTCAGCATTTAGGTCTCCATAGTGGAACGATTTCTGGAGGCGTGCGGTTCCGTGAACTTACTTGAGGGCATCCCACTCATCCCAGGCGCAGTCAATCTCAAAGTTGCGCGCGAGGGAGACCAGGACAAGCTTCATTTCAACCACGGCTAGCTCTTGGCCAATACAGGCGCGGCTTCCGAGTCCGAATGTCCTCCAGCCGTGTTTCTGTGGGTGCAAAGGATCTTCCGGGTCTGTCGTCATCCATCGCTCTGGCACAACCTCCTTAGCCCTCGGCCACAAGTCCTCGTTTCGAGACTGAGAGAGCAGCCCGTCCCATATGAGGAATCCACCGGTTGGATACTGCTCTCCCGTGATACTGTCGGTGATGCGATAGTGCGGTTGTCCGTCTCGAATGACAGGAGGACCAGGAAATAGGCGCAGCGCTTCTTTGATGACCCCGCCCGTGTATAGTAGGGAGTTGAGCAAGTGCGGCGACTCACGGATCTTGTTGATTGCATCTGCGGGATCTTTGCCCAAGACTTCGTCGTGTTCGGCCCGTAGCTTCCGGTCAACTTCGGGATTTTTGGCGATGCAGTGTATCGCCCAGCAAAGAGCCGTGGCCGTCGTGTCGTGGCCAGCAAACATGAAGATCTTGAGCTGTGAGACGACAGTCTCTAGGAACAGTCGGTCCACATTCACTACACCGGACATGGGCTTCAGCGCCAGATCGATGATTGTCTTGAGCCCGTCCTTCTTCTTTGTACCTTTGAGGGATCGTTCGATTGATGGGAGTAGTTCGTTGTACATCGTTTCCCTGTTCTTCTTGATAGCAGCCAGTCGCCACGGGCTGTACCACTTCCACACGGTGATGAGGTTCAAATGGAGAATCGACCGCGAAATCTGATCCATGAGGGCATTTCTGAATCTGCTGGGTCCGTTTGTCTGTTCATGAAGCTCGATATCAAGCACTGCGCGGCCGATAATATCCATGGTTAAGTTGGTCGTGGTCTCCACAAGCGGAAACACGCCGCCCCAAGAGCCGTCGGCGCCAGCCTTTTCCCGCATAATATCGGCGAACACCTTAACATCCTCCAACATTCCGGGAACAAGGCCGAGGACGTTCTTGTTACTGAAACTAGGGTTGAACCTTGCGCGCCACGTCTTCCACGGCTCGCCTACCAAACATGCGAGGTCTATTGCTTCCGTGATCGGGGCCAAAGCCTTCTTCGTCCAGTCACTGCGCGGCACGCTGGAGTCGAACATGTAGTGGCCTGCTGCCTCCGGGTGCACGGTGAAAACGAGCGGGGGGCCCATAGGCCACATGTCGGCGTAGACTGCTGAGGGACACGATGTCCGGCCGGGGAAGAGCGTTTCCCAATTGTCGACGATGGCTTGGGCATAGTAGTTGAAGTGTACGTCTTTGGGCAAATGCGAGGTGAGCTTCATGAGTAGGCGCAAGTGGCCAAACATAAGCGAGTGAGGCATCATTGGCTATGCTCAAGTCAGAACCTTGGCCTCCTAAGTGTGCTTGGAAACTCACAACTCCTTGACTCTGAAGCTTGCGGAACCTCATTCGCTCTTGGAACATTCGAGCGAACACATAGCCGATGCCGAGTGCCGCGGCCAGACCCAAGAGGCGGAACATCATTGCCATAGGGCTCTCGACCCCCGAAGCTGCGAAAACGCCCATTTGAGCGGTCTCCTTTCTGGGTTTTCAGCAAAATCTGCGGGTTCTCTCTCCAATCACTTTCGTGGCTCCTTCCGGCGACGAGAATGCCGAACCACCGCCTCTCTTATACATAAGGATATACGGGAGGACCCGTCAGGCATTGGCATATGCCACGGTCGTAAAATGACAAAAGGCAGGGTCATCATTGGTTCCACGATCAAATACCCCTCTCAGGCCAACGGTAGTATCGCAGGCCGAGGAACAAGACTGAAGTAGAGTCGGCCGCCTTCTACAAACGTGCATGCCCCCGCGGCACTCTGCATCGGGATTCTCCATTCTTCAGGCTTGGCCTTGCAGAAACGGGTCGAGATAGCCGTTAGTTGCGGGTGCTCTGTGGGAACTTTGGGCGGGGATCTGGCGGCTTCTGGATCTGCGAGCAAGGGTCGTGCAGGGCTTCCGAACGTAACCTGACTTATCGTGTTCGTGCCGTTGGTCGGTTGGTTGACTTTGGTTCTTTGGTATATGTAGTGTAACGGTGTAACGGCCAACAGCGGATACGCGATGTGTGCTCGAATATCCGTACTGGTATTAGTGCCAAGTGGTTTTGAGGAACTCCAAATAATGCTCTCAGAATCCTTTCTTTGTTACACAGTAGTCTTGACCTTACAAGTATCTTGATACTGTTACAACTACTCTGCACATAACGAAAGTCATTGCTTCCTTCAACTGTTGCATTAACACTGCCATGTAGTCGCTTTCAAGTTTGGCGCATCTTACCAGTTTAACCGATTATGCCTCAATTAATACGATTCTCAATAGAAGGCAAGGCGTGGATCGCTCAACGTACATGAAACCGCGCTTGCATTGAAGCCAGCTCATTTCGTAGTTGGAGATGTTGCCAGACGTCTTCATGATATTTCGGGGTGAGTCATGCGGCAACACAATTAGTGCAATTAAACTCGACACACAAAGCCCGACTTGAGCAGCGCCTTTAACGCAGCTTTAAAGAGAAGACAATAAATATTGCTCTGAAAGAACATGATTTCTGAAAAATAATCCATCTTAAGGAACCAAAGACTTAAACCATATAGTATGGTGCTACTTTCTTGATAAACTAAGCGTCATCTCAGGAAATCAACGAGCAACAAGCAACCTCAATCAATTCGGAATTATAATCAGCCATTAAAACACCAAAAAAATGTCGGAAATTGATCCTTCAAGTCCACACATTGTTGCTTTTATGGCCAAAGCATCCGCAGAGCTCAACATCCCTCTTCCGCCGCCTATGGATGTCACAGCGTTTGGCGACAACCCAGCCCTGAAAGACGACCTCCTGGGTCTTCTACTTCAGGGTAAGAAGACATCCACAACAACCTGGCCAATCCCCGAAAGTCTTCATTGGGGAGTTGGTGACTTATCGGTCATACTAGATGGCAAGGACGAACCGAAAGCTATCATCAAGACGACATCGTTTGAAAGATGCAAGTTTCGGGATGTAAGAGAGGAATTTGCGCTAGCTGAGGGAGAGGGCAATTATCAAGAATGGCGAGACGGGCACAAACGATATTTCGAGCGCAGTGAAGATTCAAAGGGGTTCAGTGAAGACGTCGAGGTGCTATGCGAGTGGTTTGAAGTTGTGTATCCTCAAATTACGAGGAAGTAGAGTCGGGCAAACCCCCATTGGGGAATAGAAAGTGAATCCTGATTTAGTTTGGTCAACCACATCTCAACGGAGGTGATCCTATATGGCAAAATTGTACGAAATAGTCTTCCCAAGAGCAACTAACGTGTATGGAAGTGCTGTCAGGCAAAACGAATGTGTTCCACAGCTTATTGCCTCGAAATGCAAAAGGATTGGGCCCTAACCAGGATTCGAACCTGGGACCTCTCCCAGACGTGTCGTTGCAGACCCTAAGGGAGAATCATACCGCTAGACCATCAGGGCGGTGAAGCTCGGAATGAGCTGAGTCTCGTTGAGGTTGAGGTCGAGATGCGTGACTATGTTGTGTTTGTGGGTGGAATAGGGCTTTTGTCGCTCGTGGGGACGTTTGGGGGCCAAAATGAGGATCCGCGGGCCGGGCCCGGACGCCCACAACCCGGAGGGTCCGGCTTTGGTGTGCCGGAACCCCGTGGTGCAGTGGTCCTGTAATCTGGCCAGCGGGCGCGGGTTGAGCTTGAAAACTGGCGCAAAGGGTGCTGCATATGAGGCAATTTGTGATGGGATCCAGTTGTCACAAACGCACCAGCAAAGACGGCTTTCTTTTTACACCAATGAAGATTGAACACTCAACAGTGACAGATAAGTCTATTGATTCTATTTACTTTGGCTACGTTCTGGACGCGTCGAAGGTCCGCCCTTGGACGTGCTCAGATTCCGACCCCAGGAATTCATCTAAAAGGTGTTGGGTTCTCATTTCCAAAATCCCCGATTGTGAGCTTCTTATCCGTTGCCACGCGGGATTCGATGTCCCGCTATTTGCACCCCACGTTGATGTGGGCATCTTGCATGGCAAGTTTTTTCCGCAAGTTGCTGGACTTCTTGTGGGTTCATCAGTACAACACGGCATTCCGGCACAAATACTTTGGAGGAAGGGGTGAGACTACGAGTACTAGAGTAGTAGAGTCACACCGATATATTTCCAGTTGCCAAGCGAAATGATACTCTCTTGATTTTGTCATGCCAGGTGTGAATGTAAGCCGAGCCGGCAGTGTGCTCTGTGTGACTCGGGAGACGGGGGACGGGGAATGCGGAGGGGATCTCCGAACCCAACGTCCTGAGAACCGGAGTGTATTGCTTTCGAACCTCAGGGGCACAAGTATGGTCGCAGACTTGGACACTCTGTTTCAGCTAACGGGCACTGTATTATTGCACCAGTGCAGAGCCGGGGAGTCTTGGAAATAGACGTCTTGGGCGCTTGCATTCCAGTTGGTTCCGGTTCTGGCGCTTCAAGCACAACTGTGACTAGCAGAAGCAGATCACCTCAAGTGCTTACTGTCGCGCCGTAAGCTTAGGTGCATTAGTGCGGAACTCAGTCCCGTAGGCTGGACCGATGCATCTAAGCTGCATTATTAATGCTCTTTCAGGCTTGAACCTGTGGCGTTACCAACCAAGTTCGCATGATACCATGATGAACGCGTACGTTCAATGTCTGGATTGATCCGGCGAACCGAAGACAAACTTTGAGGTCGATATTTCCTCTGTGTAAACCTTGATATCGCATGGCTTCTTCTGTCCATTGCTCTAAAGATTCGTGCCTGAAGACAAAGCTTAATCAACATACATTCTGGAAGCTACAGTTGTAGAGTCGCCTGCATCATGATGCTCAGTCATGCAGTTTGGATTGCGTTCCTCGCGGCGGCTCACGCTGCAGTCTTGCCGCCAGCGCATTTGCAGCGTCAGGCTAAATCGCCTTCGATTTCAAGTATTGTAGTATTCGGTGACTCGTTCAGCGACAACGGTAAGCGACCGGTGGTGGTTCGATGGGCTTGCGTCGAGGATGGAGATGGCTAATGATATGCGATGTCCAGGAAACGGTGCTGCTCGAGTATCGAACAATGCCTGGCCTACAGACAAATAGTCAGTGAACCTCTTTCCCCTACACTTCTTCTAGTTCAATAGATGTAACGGCCTTTTCAGCTACAAAGGTCGCATTTCGAACGGCATCGTCTGGGCAGAATACGTAGCAGCTAACCTCTCATTGCCTCTCTACGACTATGCGGTCGGAGGTGCAACGACTTCGAATGCTCTTATCCAGGGCTACACAGGCGCAAAGGGTGATATTGCCGTACCTTCTGTTATTGATCAAGTCGTCTCGTTCTTGGCGAAGATGAATCCTCAAGGAGGAGCATTTGGAGCGTCCGATTCGATGGCAACGGAAACCCCATTGCTGATCCTGTTTGCTGGTGCCAACGACGTTCTGTTTAATGCCAACATCAGTGCTTCGCAGTCGTATCAAATTATTCGGCAAGCCGAAGCAAAGCTACGCGATGCGTACCCAACTGCCAGAGTCTTGACTCTAACACCGCCGGATATCTCCAGACTTCCGTATGGCTTCTACTTGGAAGACAGTCTGGCAAAGAACCAGTTGCGAACTTTCACCGACCAACTGGGAGAACTACTCGACAGGTCAAAGACAGGAACTGTCAACGTTGATCTTCGACCGCTCTTTGACGACTTTGAGTACTATGCTTCCCCTCGGGCGTACGGATTCGACCCCTTGGGAAAGTACGGCAGTTGCCTCGAAGGTGAATATGGTGAGACGCCAAATGTGACGATCTGCGGAGACCCAGGTAGGCGGGTGTACTGGGACGAATACCAGTGAGTGTCCGCTAGACTTTTCTTTTCGTTTCTTTTCCGAGCCGATTTGCCGTTTACCCAGTCTTCAGCTCTCATTCTGACGTCGTGCAGTCCTACAACTCTTACACACTCGTGGATTGCCAAGGAGGTTCTAGACGTTCTGAGAGGTCCGTTCTGATTACCTCTTGTGGTTGAGGGAGCGAAGGTTGGAGTTCCGAGGTTGTCGGTTTCGGCATAAATGGAAGAATGCAAGTATACGGGGGGCAGTGTAGAAGTTTTCTTGGAAGCAGTTTTACAGAAACAGCGATGAACAAAAGCGAGACATTGGATCAGACGAAAGAAGCAAACTCGCTGGCCCAATACCAAGTTCCAATTCCAACTTCGGGTCGAGGCCAGGGGACCCCTCGTTGGTATGTCCTGAAGAGGCGAAGGCATCCCAACCCTCCCCTGCTAACTCCACTTGACCCGGCTATTGTTGACACCAACCCTCTGTGTCAAACAAGCACGGACAAGTTGTTTGCGAGCTGAGGATAGTGCGTCCCGCCCGTTGCCGCTGACAAAGATGCATCCTTCAGGGGCGGAGTTCTTGGTTCATCGTCAAGCTGCTACGAAATCCGATGTGTTGACCATGGCTACATAAAAGCCAGACGGACTGGACGGGATCAGCTATGATATGTGATAAGATAGAAACAAGCTCAGAGTGCTGAACTAATTTTGGCGATATTCTTTCTGCATGTTAATGCTTCATAGGTACTTGTACGATGGATCTCCATTCATCCATATTGGATGGCGAATTTCGAGTAGAATATTTTGACATGGTCCACATGTCTTGGCACGGCTCGCTGTCACAGAAAGCACGGCACAAAATTCAGGGCTGGTGGCCGCGTCTTATTCTCTGCCCATGATAAGCGGAAAATTGAAAGCAATGACGTGGAAACAATTTGGCTTTAAGCGCTCTTGCGTTCCCGAAGCCGGACATCCGGGCCTAGGTGGATGAAGTTATGGTTAATTGGTTATTTGGTGATGTGGCTCAACACCAGACGAAAAGAGAAGCAATCTCGGAGGCGTCTCACCGATCAATGTCACAAGCCGTTGAAGCAGGGCAAGGTAATTCGCCAATAATGCGGACATGACTTCCCGAAACTGTTCTTTGCAGTTATTAGTCGAAGGACTCGAGGGTTCCCTAACGCCGCGACTCTCCTGAGGCCTAGGAGTTTCCATCCCACGTTTCCGCCCAGAATTGTTTTGTTAAGGCTGGTCCCTGTGCAGGCATGTCCCCTGGCCTCATTTAAGCGCGACGTGCTGCCATCTGATGACGCGTAACTAAGACATGGTCCGCCCCCGGTAGACAGGGAGACTAAGCAGCGTCCCATCAATCCGCTGGACTCTGCATCCCCGTTCAAAAAAACAAGTGAAAACCCCCGAACTAGGAATAACGGCACCGTTCCCCTCGCCCCAAAATGTAAAGGTGAAACGAAGACGACGACGTCCCTCATTTACAGCAAACGCCCCATGGTCGGAAAATAAGGGAGTGGTGGAGACCCTGGACCCGTCTTCCTTGAAACACACGGCCGTGATGGGCTGAACATCGAAGCCCAACCACTCAGCGTCCCCCACACACACTCCAATCATGTTCCCATCCTGGAGAAGATCTGTTGTTCCTTGGTCTGGTCTAGAACCCTCGAGGCTCGAGCAAGTTGTCGGTATCCGTAGTAGAGCGAGCACTGTTGACTCGCTGAGCTGCGCGCATCCACAGTTCCATCCGCACCATCCACCCACCCACGCGGCATCCATCATCCTGATCCCGCCGCGGAAAGCTAGGCCAACAGATGCCAAACTCCTGTTACCCCTGAGAACCCACCCGTTGGAAATTGACAACAATATGGCGCCCATGCTTCTCACCACTGTTCTGTCTTGATCGAAAGCGGGAAAGTCGGGCCACCCTTCTATCCAAGCTGGAGCTTGAGCCGCAGACAACTACCGAATAGTGGCAACTCGTCCGGGGCCAAACATGGTTCTTGCTCTGCTAAACGCCCACATCCCGCCGGGCTGGGTCGACTGCCCTTGTCGATCTGTGTCGTCCGATGGCGCAACGGTTCACCATGTTGCTCGACCAAGTTGACGCCATCCTGGCAAATCATGAGCCAAATCGGTGGCGGATGGTAACCGGGATCCCAGACGTCGAGATCGATATAAGATGCAGCTGTTCTCCTTCCAAGACCAGTCTTCTTTTTTTGCTCTCCATCCCACTCCATCTTCATCACTTTCATTCCAAACACATTGAAGCTAGTCTTCTTTTCCGTTCTTGATACCAAGCCTTTCATTCGTTCTTTCGAACCACATTCCTTACCAACCTTTCCCACCTCACAAAACAACCTCTCAGTCAATCTCATAACTCAGACAAAATGAAGGCCAACGTTATCGCCGCTACCATCCTTGCCGCCTTCTCGGCTGGCGCTTTCGCTCAGGACCAGGAGGCCGAGTTCCCCACTGGCTTCCCTACCGACCTCCCCTCCGGCTTCCCTACTCAGGTCCCCGGCGCTGCTAAGCCCTCCGGCGGCTTCGGCGGTGGCTTCCCCGGCTTCCCCTCCGGTGGCTTCCCCACTGGCTTCGGCGGTGCCCGCCCTACCCAGGTTCCCGGCGCTGCTGCCCCCTCCGGTGGCTTCGGCGGCAACTTCCCCGGCTTCGGTGGTCACTCCGGCTTCTTGACCCGCACCCGCGGCTCCTCCGAGGAGGCTGCTGGATTCGGCGCCCAGGCTGCCGAGACCCCCTTCCCCACCGGCACCCAGTCCGGCGGTGCCCGCCCTACCGGCAAGGGTAAGGGCAAGGGCAAGGGCAAGAACCACGGCACCGGTGCTCTCCCCTCCGGTGTTCGCCCTACCCAGGTCCCCGGTGCTGCCCAGCCCTCCGGCGGCTTCGGCGGCAACTTCCCCGGCTTCGGTGGCGATGCTCCCTCCGGCGCTCCCTCCGCTGAGCCCACCTCCGCTTAAGCGACAACAACTTCTTCGACGATGACAAATTCGGCTTATGGGTTTGACTTGGACCACTTGGTTCAGCAAACGGCTTTATCTGGAGCGTGTTTGGACGATTTCTAGTGATGGAAGATGTGTTTCTTTTCTTACTACTCCACGTGGAGCTTTCATTGTATAAATACAAAAGCCACTTGGAGTAGCTGGCTGGTACATTGCATAGGCGTTTGCTTTTTGTAGACTTATCAAATAAGAGCATCCGTCTTTTTCAAACTTCTTGACTACAGATCTGCAGTGACCGATACGTTTAATGAAACTTGCTGAGCTCAACTACCTTACGTTGGCCTCTCGTTTCTTCCCCAATACCCCTATGAAAGGGCTTTAGACTGTAACAACTGACATCTCGGAGCAAACAGTACCTTGCCGATTACTCTTTCGATGTGGCCGAATACTTGTAGTGACTCGACAAGCCCACCAGCTAGGTTGTTGACCAACTCATACGTGTAGCAAAGATCGTTCTGGCCACATGGGGGTTCCAATGTAAATGCTCCAATTAGCCGATGACCTTAAAATGCGCTTTGTAGCCTTCTACGGTATTTGCATGTTGTTTAAACCTTTGCAAAAGCTTGATGAACTAATGATGCACGCGGTAAACGCGATGCAATTAAACAAGGTTTGGTCACAGATCCACGAAGCTACAGTGCGTACTTGGGTTCTTGGGTTCTAGACAAAAGTCTAAAAGTACCTCACAGAGCATTATTTCCCATTCATTTACCCTGTATGACTGACTACAAAATCATTCCTGAAACGTCACATAGCGGTCCCATGTAACTAATATCTGACCGCGGGCCGTATCCAGTTTCTTGATAACAGCGGCCAAGTCATGCATTACTGTGACAGACCATTTCATATTACAGTTGCCTCGTCTTCTCATCTTATCGTACCTCGTTTTCTAGTCTTCTCACAGGAGTTGGGTTGCTGCCATGACGGCAGCCAATGCAAACACGATGGCGGCTGGCTGATTGGTGTTGGCAGCGCTGGCGTCGGTGCTGGAAGTAGCAGACTAGACTTTTGTTAGAAACATCGGCTGCAACCTATGGTTTTCCCAGAACAAAGACTTACTGAGCCAGAGCCGGTCACAGACGCTGTGGAGGATGCACCAGCGGTGCCAGATGTCCCTGCTGTAGTAGTCGCATTGGTCGTGCTGTTTGAAGCAGTGACAGGCGTTGCGTCAAGGTAACATCCGTTCGCGGCCTCTGTGACGCCGTCTCCGTAGTATTGCCAGATGTCAAATGTGTTCGCGCACTGCAGACATCCCTCGAAGTAGTCCGTCCAAGTGGAGTTGGTGCAGTAGCCGTCTTCAGCTGCTCCGAGAATGGCATAACCTAGATACTGTCATGAGTCTGTCTGACCCGGTGCTGGGAGCACATCGAGTCGCATACCGCAATTCTCGTGGCACTCGTATTTGGCTCCGCTGGTGACCTGACGCGCGTGAAGAGGCACGACGGGGAGCCACTCCAAAGCCGTAGCAGTGGAGGCCAAGAGCGTGACAGCTGTGATGAACTTCATGTTGACGACAATGGTGACTAGATGCGAAAGATTGTGGATGAACTTGATCAATAATGGCCAGGCAAAAAGCTAGACAGAAGCCTGCGCGGTGGAGGAGTCGCGCTGCGCCGCATCTATATACCACAGCAGTGTCCCTGACGAGCAGATTGTTGCATACGCAACCTCTCCCGAGGATCCTCTTGGTGGATCAATAACTCGCAGCTAGATGTTCTTGGCTGGATGCCTTCAGCCGATGGGCGAATCATGTTCTGGCGGCCGAGAGTGCCGAGGTGCTCAGGTCGCATCGGCGCGGGGTTGAAGTGGGGGATCAAGGGTATTCATGTTGCGATGGGCAAACTTTCGAGCAGAATTCTGCAAAGTCATCGTCGTAAACCACACTGCTCGATGGAACACCAGTTTACTTAAACAGCACACTGCAAGTTGATATTGGTGAACCAGTTTACTTCCCGGAGGCGGCGAAGATGAAGACAGCTTGAGGTAACTGAAT